GCGGAGGGCGCCACATTTTAAAATTATTTATTCGTTACTTATCAAAAGTTTTGCTATATTTTTTTGAATATTTAAAATATATTGTAATTCCAGCGTATATCGAAAGTGAATGAGATAGGAGGGGAATACAGAATATTATCATTTCGTAAATTTGTCTGTTCTGTTAAATATCATTAAGCTAATAAAAGAATATCTCTTACACAGCCCTCTACCTCTATCTTTCGTAAAAGTGCTATAACCAATAATTTGAAATAAAAATAGGCAAAAGTAAATTAAATTTTTAAAATAACCGCTATAATTTATAATTTTGCGGAAAAAGGGTATTTTTATATAAAAAAAAACCCAAATTATTTTTCTTAAAAATATAATATAAAAGCTTAAAATAAGTAGACTTAAAGACCTCTAATAAATTTATAAGGGAACACTTATTTAATAAATAGTATTTTGTTCACCACTACCTCCCCATATTAAAATACTAGAAACTCCTATGCAGCGAATAATTTGTGCTATAATGTTTTCTTTCTTGGTTGGTTTAAAAATTTAAAGAACTGTTGGGTACAAAATTCAAGATAGTTGATTGAATAAATTAATTTCTTATTAATATCTTAACCGAGTTCGTATAATTTCAAATTATTATAATAAGTTATTATTACATGAACCAAAATAGAATATGTCACCATTGGAACCTATCCTAACCCCGAGCAAAAGTGAGCTGTAGGCCCGAAAAGGGGAAGAGTTGGGCTAAGACTTCCATATAAAATATATATAATAAAAATTTCTACGATGCTCTTGAAGAAATTTTATCTGGCAACTTTGTTGGGTTAATATGTTCCATTATTATTTTTACCTTCTAGAAACCGCTCCCCCCTTACCCCGCCATTTAATGGTGCTTAATCCTCTCTCTGGTTACTAAAAATTTTTGTTAACCCTCTCATCCTACTACCCTCCAAAAAATTTAAATGAAGCTATTGCATTATAATCCGCTTCTGTTAGAAAGGCTCTGATTTTGTTAAAATTAGTCTAAAGCCATTACGCGCACTCTATTTAGTTAGGTCATCAAAACAAATACACGTATTTGATTGGTTTACTATTCGTATTCGTACGAATTATAAAATATAATATTCTTATTCGATATGGTTAACTGTAAATTTATCGATTTTTAATAATTTCATTTTTAAAGTCATATATTCAATTTAAATAAGCCTAAAATGAGTGACGCGATGGTAGTTCACAGATTTCAGAAGTATCACTGATTAAAAAGACACTAGACATAAAATATCCTCGGATAAATATCTAAATTTTAATAATTTTTCAATAAGAAAAGGCAAAAAATATATTAGTTTCTTTCCATTCCATTCTTAACTAAAAGATTTTTACACAAAAATTCATAAAAATGTGCATGAAAAATTTTTGGACATGGTCGGGCCGAACTATAACATAAAATATCAAGTAAGGCATAGCACATCTCTGATTTTTTTTATAAAATTGTAGGTCAGCCCCGGGCCTTGAAATTTTGGTTTATTTTTTTTTTTTGAATTTCAAGATTATATTTTGATTTTGATCATTATTATTAATATGAAAATAAATTACCATATTTCTTTCCATATTATAATAGCGATCATAGGTAAATTCGCAAAAAACAAACAATTTATTAAATGATATGATCTAATTTTAAATACACAATACAGATATCAAACGTAGAAATAAACGACGATAGAGAAGAGAGATATAAGAGCCCCTTATGCAAAATTGGAAAAAAAAATTAGGCATAGATATTTAATGAAGATTGGAAAAATCGTACTAAAATATTTAACCGACATTGAAGCAGACAGTAAGTATTTAAAAGTTTTACCAATTTTCGCGGTCAGCGTTAGCCGTAAAATTAGAGTTATAGTAGAAAGAAAGAGGGGAAGGGTTAATACTATTTAATGGGTAAACCAATGCCTAGTTTATGCATACGTTTACTTCGTCAAACAGGAAAACACTATTTCCCGAAGTTAGTGTTAAAATTAAATTGATCATTAAATAAGGGGCTGAATCATTATATAAAAAAATGGATAAATTTTGTTTAATACGCTAAGATTTATATAAGATTGTTTTAAATTTATCACCAAAAATATTTAAACAAGTGAAGAATAATAATTCAATATTAAAAAAATCTCCTATATAATCATTAAAAAAAAATTAAATTGGGATATTTTTGTCCGGTATCTTTTTGTCCGAGGTTATTTTTTTTTTACATGCGTTTTTTTTCAATGTCTATTGACGGAAGGTATTTTTGTCCACCGTTTTTTTGTTCTAGGATGTTTTTGTCCAGTGTTTTGTCCCAGGGTTTTTTGTCCCAGTCAGATATTTATGTCCGAATCAGGACATTTATGTCCAAGATTCGACTCCAACTCATATGTTTTTAAAATATCTGAATCTAAATTTGGGTATAAATAAAAAATATATCACCTATTTTTTGAGTACAAACGTTTATTTTTTCTATTGAGTATGTCTAAATTAAAAATTGACTTTATAAGCACGTCCTAATGGTCACATTGGGTTCATACACTTTCCCTTTATTTAATATAATAATATATATGTATATAAAAATTTTAAAAGTTTTTTTTTCTTCTCTAAATATCGGTTTGTTATAATATCGATCATGGGTACAAATAAAAAATGTTGGATCAGGTGAAAGAAACAAAAGAAGAAAAAAAAATTGGCACAACACTATTTTATTTTTTAGATATTATGTGTTAGTTATATGGTTATATTTTATATATACTTGAAAAAAACTTCTATTTTCTGTTTTTATATACCTTGTTTATCGAAAATTGCAACAGTTGATTCAACATACCCTATTTTATCGAAGGCCATGAAAGCCCTATATATGTGTATAATAAAATATAGAGAGAGAAAGATATAACATAAAATATTTACATTTTTATATTTTTTGGTTAAAAAAAAAATTATTTTCTTTTTTAAAAAAAGATAAAATAAGATAGAGTATCTTTTAAAAAAAATATATAATGATTTCACTTTATCTTACTTTGGCTGCTACATATTGCGTCTTGGGCTATGGTATAATATATTTATTATCATTATTATATTTTATATCATCAAAATTTTTTTACTAATTAATAGTTTCTCTTACTGTTAAAAATCGAATAAAAGTTTTAAGTTGGACAAATATTATAAAAAATTTTCTTTTATTCCTAAGGTTACAAAGATATATTATATCAAAGTTAATTTATAAAATTTTTTAAGGAAAAGTCCAACATCTTCCTAACTGTTTTTCTATTTTTGGAGGAACATTTCTTGTAGTTTTTCATTCTCTTGATCCCGAATATACCACTATTATTATTATGGCTAGAAATCAAATATATCTATTCTACAAATTTTAATAATAATCAATTAAAAATTATTAATATAAAAGTAAAATTTGTTCAAAAGCCAATGGCAAGATTTTCTACAAATCATAGAGAAAGTATTCTGCAAATGCAAATTTTTAAATTTTTAAAAAATTGCCTTTAAATAAATTATTTAATTTGCTAACATATTGTAAACTTTATTGTAATCATAAAATCCTGATTATTAGACTTTTGACTATTTGGGGACAAAATTTATTATTTATAAATATAATTAAGTTTATTTAAATTTTTATTTTAAAATATTTATATTAATTAAAGATATAAAAAAAAAGTTAAATATCCTATATAATTATTAAATTCATAAAACAAAAATAACTATCACGATTAAGTGTCGGCTAAAGTTATTGTCGGCTACATACCATCCTGGAGCCAACAGAATTTAGATATATCAAATATAAATGGTAATTTGATCACTCATCTACTTTATGCCGTGCCAATAGGAGCAGATGGAAAAATTAGAGTTGATTCCCCAGGTATGTTCCAACGAAAAAAAAATATTTGATATTTTTTAAAAACGTAAAGGAATCTATATTTACATATTAATATTAATTTGATAAACATATTCGCAGCTGTATAACTCTAAGAGAGGGGGATTATGCATCTACTTTAAAATGGAAAGGGATATAAAAAAAAATAGCTTTACAATGATTATGCTTAATTTAACACTCTTTATAGCATCGGATACATCCAATTAGAAAGAATTTTCCAGTTGATTTTGCTTCGCTTTGTAAATAATTTTCCTCTTTGGATCGTTTTTAAATTAGTTAGACCTCTCTGACCTCTCTGACCCCAATATATTTTTTTATTTAGGTTAGTAAACTCTTTGTATTTTTTTTCTAAAGTAAAAACAGCTGATATATAAAATTTTTTTGATTAAATCAGGAATAGGCCGTATTTACTATCAATTTAAAAATTGTATAAATATTTTTTTTTCCTTTTTCTTCACTATAATTAGCGGATTTCCAAAAATTAAAAAATTTAACGATAAAATATCCTAACTTAAAAATTCTACCAAGTATTGGAGGTGCAACCTGGCGATGGATGTTCGAGTAAATACTTAAAAATTATACAGAAAAAAATAAAACACTTATATACTATCCCTTTTCATTCCAGTCAACTTAGTACAGATGCTTTGATTCAAACGTTTGCTACTAGCTGCAAAACTGTAATTTAACAATATGGGTTGCATGGGATCGATATTGATTGGGAATATCCCTACGCTAGCGAAAAGGCAAAATATGGAAAACTGTTGCAAGTAAGTTTCTTAGCTAAAATTATGGATATTTTTTTCTACATCTCTAGACTCTTCTAATGTATTCTTGTATTATATTTTTTCTAATTTATGGCTAGAACTATATTTTTATAGTTTAAATAAAGCCCCTGGTCTATGATCCCTATCAATTCCCGTGAAAAAAAAAATAAAGACAATTTTAGAAGAGAACTGAAAACATTGGCTATGAATCAGGGCGGTTGGCACATATCAAGAGCCCATATGTTTTTTAATATATGAAAATGATTCAAAACTAAATCAATATCTGTAAAATATAGGTTTTGCGACAAACTCTAGGATCGAATTTATTAATTATGTCAGCCGTTCCAGCTGGTGTTCAAAATTTTGTTGGATTCGATGAAGTCGCTATGAATAAGTGAATATTCCACATGATTTTTTTTATGCAACTAGAATATGGGTAGTAGAAATTGAGAATCGTGATTTTAAATCATATCAAACTCTTAAAATAAATTATGAATCTGTATATTTAATCTGAGATAAACTTTTTAATTTATTTTCTTCTTCTTAGAAATTATGAATATTGCAAAAAAATATAAAGTTATCTAGACTATGTATTGTTGATGACATATGACTTCCATGGAGCTGGGTGGGAGAGTAACACTGGACACAACGCACCTTTATTTGGACAACCACCTTATACAACGGTAATCTATAATTTGTCAAAGTAATTTATTAAATTGTCTCTAACATTTTAAAACCATAAAAATTAAATTGAAATAATATTTTAGAAGGGATGCGCGGACGAATGGATAAATAAGGGTCTCAGAAGTGACAAAATTGTAATTGGGTTAGCATTTTATGGTCGTACATGGCGATTACAAAGTTCCGCTAATTATAGCGTTGGCGCGCCATCTGTAGGTGTTGGATCTGGTGATGGATTTTTGGCCTTGAATGATGTTAATTGATAAAATATTTACCTACTTCAATTTCCCACATTATTTTTTTATCATTATAAAAATAAGATAAGTAACTCAAATTGGAATGAATATTGGGATGACTCTGCAAAAGTTCCTTACGCAGTTATAGGTACAGATTGGCTGAGTTACGACAACGAAAGAAGTCTGGAGGCTAAGGTTTTAATAAATTTGACGGAGGAAAAAAAATTTATATGTTTGCAAAATTATAACCTTGCCCATCGTATTTAATTAAACCCATCTTAAAATAAGATTCAATGGGCATGCCAAAATAATTATCAAGGGGTGATGATTTGGGAGTTATCTCAAGAAAAGACTCAATCCCTTATTAGTTTCGTCCAAAATAAGTTAAATTATTATTGCGGGGGTGGTAGCACCAATCCACCTGTTACAAATCCACCTGTTACAAATCCACCTGTTACAAATCCACCTGTTACAAATCCACCTGTTACAAATCCTCCTGTTACAACCGCGCATACTACGCAGCATGCTAACCCTCCAGTAACAACCGGTGGTAATAATGGTTGCATCTCGAATACTAGTCAGATTTGTAATGGTAGAACAGGGTTTGCCAGTTATCCACCGGATTGCAAGTATTTAAAAAATAACCTTTTTAAAGGTTTTATAAAGATTATTTATTTTTTTTAATTTGTCGTCAGGAGTAATTATTCGCTTCGGAAATAAAAATGTGTGAAAAATAATTTTAAAATTATATTTGATGTTTAAAAAAAAAATTATGTCTTATGATAGTAAGTACGTGGATTGTAGAGTAGGGAATTATCCTCTCATGACTTGCTCATCTGGTTTAGTATTTAACGAAGCTGGTCAATACTGTGATTGGACTTATAACGTTAACTGTTCTCCATGTTAGAAGACCTCGCACATTAACTTATTCTTTAAATACATTTATTTTATATGCTATGGTAAAATTGGGCTTTTATTGGGTATTAGTATTTAAAAATATATATCATGAAAAATGTTCAAATCCTTATCTATATTATAATTGGGGTATTAAAAAATTTGTTTCAATTTTATTTTTTGGGTTAAATAATTATATCATAATGATGTTTAAATCTATATCTATATTATAATAAAATAAATTTGACTTTGATTGTTATTATTTATTGGGTTAAAGATTAATAATCATTTTAATAATATATTATATATTTTAACATTTAAATTTAATAAAAGATTTTGGGTTATGAATATCTACACTATGCATATCGGTCTCGAAAAGGGAACGCTCTAGCTTTCATATTCTTTCTATAGTTATCCCCAATCCTGTGGGGAAGAACCGCCCCGTGGAAACTTAACTCTTAATCAGAATTTTATATCTCAGCTTATTTTTTTACTCGTCATTCCCAGAATGTTGTAACCATTTGTCCACTCGGCGACACTAACCACTTCTACGAATGTCTAGTATATTATACCATTTATCGACATCTTTTAATCTGCTTTAGATTATTTCCTAAAATGAACCATAACACAATAAGCAATTAATAAAATCTCTACCTATGATATCAAGTAACAACGCTGGTTGAGGTTTCAAACAATGATGCAAAATAATTATACAGTTAAGCCACAAGTTAATTAATATCTTACCTAATTCGACTAATCAAATAAAATGTTTATATGGTATTTGTAATTATAATGATGAATTAACAACCTGTCTTGGTTAACATTTTAAATACCTGATAAATCATTTCCTAGGCTAGATTATATATATGCGGTGTATCATTCATTAAGGAGAATCTAAGTGTCTATCTGTTAACATGAGGGTGTAACTAAGTGAGAGATTTAAATTAATTTTATAAAATCAAAAATAGAGCAAAAATATTTATGCCGAATTATAAAGTTTTATTTAATTTTTTAATAGTTTTTTTAATTTTGGTTCAATTATTTCTTTATTTGGGCTGTGTCAAATGATAAAATTATAAATAAATTAAGTTTTGAAGAAAAAAATAACATAAGCTATTTCTAATGCAAAAATAAAATAGTGTTTTAAATCATTTTTGGTCATATACAAAAATTGATTTTTTTAAAATAAATAATACAAATTAATAAATATGAATAAAAATTTATCTAAAATTTATTTATTTGGATAATATTTACGAAAAACTCGCAAGTAATAATTAATGGTGGCATTGTTATATTTGTATTTTATTTTCGTTTTTGTCCGTTTTTTTTAGTTTTTTGGAAAGGTTTTTTTTGTTGTTTTTTTCATTTTTTATTTTAATTTTTACAAAACTTTTAAAAAATAATGGAAGACTCCAGAAATGTTTTATAATTCTATAAATTTGTGAAAATTTAAATTTTGATAAACAAAAAAAAATTTTTTTAATGGAATCTTAACCACTTGAACTAAAAATGAATTTTTTTGATTGCCCCCTGAAAGATTTCTATTATAATTCTATTAAGTAAAATATAGATATAATTTTATTATTTAAAAATTAATAAGACTATCTAAATATTTATTAAATGAATACTATTTTAAATATTAGATTAAATTAATACATATAAATTATATTTACACTATGTCAGCTAGCAATCAAATTTTATGTTAAAAATAGAATATCAATATAACTCACTAAATATTAATTTAGCATTAACAGTTGAAGCTTAATTAACTATTATTATTTAAATTATTTTATAACCCTAATTAAATAAATATAATCATTTATTAATTGAAAAATAAAAAATTTAATATTGTAATTAGCAGAGTTCAAAATGACTAATCAACTTTATATTTATTTTTAAATTTTATTATCATACCTATTCCTAAAAATATTTTCAAGGTCCAAATAAGTATAATAAAAAGTAAGTAAGTAGAGATATAGTTTATAATCCTATATTATATACAGTTAGATAAAATGCCACTTTTATAGCCGTATTTGACAGTTATAATATATTACAGCCAATATTATAATTGATTACTAATAAATGCTTTTGATAATAAATATAGTAACAATTTGCTTTCAAGTATTTAACGCCATCTATTTAGTTATAAATAATTTTAAAAACTATACATTTTATTATTCATCCTACAATAGATGTAATAAATTTGATATCTTTTCTTTTCTTTTTTACGTTAGGAAAGCTATTTTTTCTTTTTCAAAAAACAGTTTTGAGTTAAAATTTTAAAACAAATATATTTTTGATATTTTTACAAACTACTTATATTTTAAGATATAATATACCAATATCAACTAGAGGGTGGTGCGACAATATATAAAATCTTAATTGTTTCATCATATCATTCTGATCCTTATTTTATAGTCCAAAATGTTTCATTTCTGATATGGCATCCTTGCCGTGTAAATAACTCAAGGCTTCAATATATTTGCACAATTATTTCTTCCAAAGATTTTTGGTGTTTTTATTTTATCAATTTATCCAAAATATTAAATTCTGTTACTAGTTTACATTGTGAGTGTCATGCCTATTACTGCAAATTAACCAGCATCTATTATTTGTGTTGCTATGTAATTTAAGATTAATATTACAACGGCTGAGAGCATATTATTGCATATTTTAAATAAACTATAATGGTCAACTGTGTAGTCGTTTATATATTATATATCATTTAAAATGGATGATAATCTTTTAGAAATTTAATCTCTCACAATAATACTCTCTTATTTATCTAGCTACCATCATGTCATCTAAAAGGAAGCTCTAACTACTTAATAGTTTTATGATTTGGATTGGTCGTTTATACTCTCTTCTTCAAGAATTGTTGATTTGGTTTAGGCCTATAAATTTTTTCTAATTAGTCCATTCTATAAATGTGTAAAATGGTAACAGAGAGTTATATTAGTTTGATAACCTTTTGTCAATGTATGTTGCTAAGAATTATATTATTGCATTATGTGGTTTTTAAATATTATCAATTGAGGGATATGTATGAATTAATTAATCTTTTTTATCACTTTTAATTCTTTAGACGCAAATTTTTTTTATATCATCAATCGAAAATATTTTATACTTTAATTAATAGATTTTGTATTAAAAAAATTTATTTTTAGAAATGTCTTGTATTGTTTTAATTATTTATATACCAGTTTATTTTGTATGCATAATATAATAAATGAGAAAATTAAAATTCAGAATAAGTGTTCAGAGTTAACAAATTAAAAAAGTATAATATATTAATATAAAATCTGGCCTAAGGTCGGGCAAAAGCGGGCAAATTGGGGGTATGGGGGGCGAATTCCCCCGTAAATTTTTTTTAGTTTAGCCCCCTGAGATCGTAAAGAGGCTAGCGACGCCCCTGGTTATAACTAGGAGTCTTAGAGATAAACTATGGGCGGTATTTTTAGTTCTCCCACTTTCGCCTATGCTAGAGGTGGGCGTGAGAAAACGAATTTAAAAGAATTTAAATGTCGAGGATAAGCGAGCTGAGCGAGCAAATGAATTTAAAATACTTTAGAGTGAAACGAGCTGAACGGACCTATATTTTAAACACTTGGAAGTGCAAGTTAAGCAAATTATTTAGATAAAGAGGCTTGCAAGCAAAAATTTAAAAAAGAACATAAGCAGACAAGTGAGTTAAAAAAATTTTACAGTAGGCAGGAAAGCTTGATCAACTAACTATCATAGAGGAAACATAAGGTGTCTCGAAAAACATTTTAGATGGGAAATGCTGTATGTATTGTTTGATGTAAATGGGGTAAACGAAGAGCAAAATAACAGGTTGTTGTTAGTTAGAGCCAATGGCAGTGTACGAATGATTACATTTTTTTTGGTTAGATAAGCCACTTCCAGATATGGATATAATAAAAAAATATATTAAGAAAATTTTAGATCTTGATAAAGATATGTGGCCTAGTGGTTGAATTTGTATATAAATTGAGTTTAAATTTATACAATGGGATATTATATAGTAAATTAGAAGCTATCGCATGCATTTAAAAAACTTTGATTGTTGTTTAGCAATTTTTACGAATTTCTTTATCATGATTTGGTAGTAACAAACATAACCCAATAAAGATGATGACACAGGGAAAGATAAAAAAAATTGATATAGCATATTTTTGCTAATATTTTGAATTCATAAAAGAGAAGTAAAAGTGGAAATTAAACGAACAACGTGAACTGGAAGAATTGGAGAATTCATAAGGAGTTTGCAAAATAAAATGCTACTGATTTTTATAATCTGTCATCAGTTAGAGAATAAAGTTAGAGCTAACAAAATTATATTCATAATAGTAGGAAATTAGGCTTGATGTTGATCGATTAACAGATATGGCAGGCGATATTCAAAAATAGTTATTGGGAAAAAATATTGTGAAAATGGTTACATATTATTTATAAATAGCAAAGTCTATATTATAGAATAATAAAAAAAAATACTGTATGCCTCCTCCAACCAAAATAAGATTGAATGGACATGTCAGAACAATTATCAAGGGGTGATGATTAACGATATATCTAAGGAAGAGACCCTAGCTCTTAGTAAATTCGAAAATGCAGCAAATTAGGGGAGGACACAACTGTTACAAACTCATCATCAACAACCACATACACGGAGGAATCGACTACAACCGAGAGTAACTATAATTGCAGCACTGATACTGATACGATGTGTAACGGTCAATTACTTGCAAAATATCTTCCGGATTGCAAGTGAGAAAGTTCATGTTCATTACCTCAATTTTAAAAATTAATATTTGTCAGGTTTTCTTTTTTTTGTATAAAATATATTTTAAGTTTATCTTTTTTATAAAAAAGGATGAAAACGAAAATTAATACTATTAAACTATTATATTGAAGATTATTTTTTAATGATTAAAAAATGTTTTTAACAGCAAATACGTGGATTGCCGAGCGATAGACCGCCCTGTAATGAGTTGCCTACCTGATTTGCAATTTGACGAAGCTAGCCACTATTGTGACTTTGAAAAGAATGTTCACTGTATTCCGTGTGAGCCCTCCCACATTTAAATAATACATTTTTATTAAATAAACATTTTTGAGTTTTTATTTCAATATTAGATTTAGAAAAAGAATATATATTATAATTTCGATTTAAATTACATTTAAAATTTTCTTCTACTCTAATTATATTGATCATATTAGATGAAAGAAAAAATATTTTAATGATATTATATTATAACAAAATATAAATAAATATTATAATGTATTGGATAATTTTGTACTCGCTTCGTTTAACGAGTAATTAAGGGCGACATATTAGACTATTTTTGGAAATTAATTAAGGATTTAAGACTCTATGTGCCTCGATCTCCTTACTGATGTAAATATTATATGAATGTTTGGAAACATATTTTTTAAAAAAAATATTTTATCACCATTCTCTAAAAATTATTTTAAGGCGAATTCAATTATAATTTTTTTAAAGATTGCCTTCTGTAAAATTATATCTACAAGGCGAAAGAATTTATGCTTAAGAAGACTTCTTATTCGTGATCTGCATCGTGCCTAATTTTTCAAGCCCGGCCTGAAATTATCAGGCCGGCCGAATCTAAATTTTTTAAAAAAAATTAAACCGGCCCGGCATGAATTCGAAATTTTTTTAAAAAAATTATCCGGCCCAGCCTGGCCCGAATTTATTTAAATATAAAAATTAATTTTTATAATTGCTCAAATTAAAAGACATATTTTCTAGTTCTATAAATAAAATCAATTATTTTTATTTTACATAAAAAATTAAATATAAAATTGATAAATTTAGATATATTAAGAAAAAACTTTCAAGGCCCGACCCGGCCCGAATTTTAAATATTAGTCATTAGCCCAACCCGAATTTATTTTATAAATCCCGGCCCGAAGCACATTCGACACGAGTACGGGCCGAGCCTACTTTTGAAAATCTCTACTTTGAACGATAAAAACATCTATAGTGTCCGGCAAGTACCTCGTCTGGAATATCCAAGATATAGTATTAATAAAAGGAAGGAGTATCAATAAATTCTTCTTCAAAATCTTTGATATTTTATTTTATACTTTGTCAAGGGTTCAAAATTGTTCGCAGTATAAATTTTAAAGTGTGGAACCAAAATAAATTCATTTTTAAAAAAATAATCTAATAATCTGCAACACGTTTTATTTTTTACTTTTAGTTAATAAAAAAAGGTTTTTTTTGCATTTAAATTTTTCCAAAGTGTCCGAAACTGAATCCTATTTTAGTTTTAAATTTTAGGTGGTATTCCCTAAAAATTATTTTTGAGGCGAAGAAAATAATAATTTTATTTTAAAGATTCTCTTCTGTCAAAATTATATCTGCAAAGAGAAAGAATAAATATTATGATGAAGAAGGCTTCTAAAACTATGGGTATCTCACCGTCAAATATATCAAAAATAACTGAATTCAATAATATTTATGCTTATCAGTCAAAACTGATTATTAATTCTCTTTAAATTAGATTATCTCAAGGTTAAAACCGGTTCACAGTCTTTTTTAAAAGTTCAGGTTGGTTCAGGATAGGATTTGGTAAATAATAACGGATAATACAGGTTTAACAGTTCAATTATGTTCGGTTTAAATCTTTAGATTATTTCACCATTATTATTAATCCTTTTCTTTCAAAATTTAAATTAAATTAATTATTTTACAATTTTTAATTTATTATAATTAATTTAGTAGGCAAGAATACTAAACATAGAGTCTACTAATTTGCCATCTGATGATGATATGAGGCCAGATGGTTCAACTATAATATCATGACTTTAAGTTAATACTTAATTTAGGACTTCACATATGTATCTTTCAAATAACGTTCTTCTATCAAAATTATTCTCGCCTGCAATCATTCATCGTCTAAAAATACACTAACCATAGGAATTCCCTTTAATAGGTTTTGCATAAAGGGTTGAAATATTATCGGATAGTTAACCCAAAAGGAATTATTTAGTATCGGTAACCGACATGAGTCGAAATTACTAAAAGGTCTCTACATTCTGGACTAACTCCAAATTGTAAAAATGCATCTCTAAAATATTTTATCACCCGCGATCCTATTTGTCAGGTCGACAAAAGTTGGTAGTAAATCGTTATCTATCGCTAAATATTTGTTGATTGTTAACCCAAAATCTCCGCATATCCGCACGGCACCGGATTTTTTTAAAATATTAATCGTTGGCGTAGCCCAAGTAATTGAAGTCTTTGTTGGATCCACCTTCTCGATAGCGCCTTTATCTAAATGCTGTCCATCTCAGCTTCAACGGTTCGACGCAACGGAAATGGAATTCTTCTAGATGGCAGTGCAATTGCCACTGTATTTGGTTGTATCTTGATGATGGCTTACTGTAATTTTATTTGTCCTAATTTTTTTTTTTAAACTTGCGGAATTTTGAAACAAAAGTATTTAAACTGGAATCTTTCATATTTATTTTATTAAACGAGCTTCTTCGGGAAGTTTTATATCAAATTCTTTAAGAAAGGGCATTCCAAAAATAAGGGAATTCTCACCCTTAACTACCCAAATAAATAAAAATTTTGTAATATTTTTTACTAAACTGCAGCCCATTTATCTTCGCATAGATTGTAGCTTAATTAGCAAAAGACAGGCGAGGTGTCTGTGGTAAAATCATTTGTATAGCCTGCGTTCTACACTCTTTCGCTATGTGGTTTGCTTTTCCGCACCTAAAGCATATTACTTTTTTTTGACTGAAATTAGGTTTAAAACTTGGTTTATAAAAATTATGGTTGAATTTGTTAGCATTATAATAATAATTATTATTAATGAATTTGTTTACTTTGTTATAATTATTTTTAAAATAAGTATTTTTGGAACATTGCATAGGCTTATGTTTAATTATTTTATTAACTTCTGTCAGGGTTTCCTTCTCCAATGAAGACAGCGCGATCGCTAGACGCACAATATCTTCAAAAGTAATATTTCCTCGGCATATTTTGACCAAAGTTCTTTGTCCAGCTCAGGTAACCCTACTCCTAAGATGAAAATATCACTTAAGAGTTTATCAACAGGCGATTTAAAATTACATAAAGAGCAAATGCTTTTTAAAGAAATCAATAATAGTTTCATTATTTCTTTTTAAGGTATAAAAATTGTTTCTATGAAGAAAAATTCTCGAGACATCCTTAAATATTTTTTCTAAATTCTCGAGTAAAGTTAAATAATTTATATTATCTAAATTTTTAGGAAAATAAAATTTTTTAATTTTAAATTTTCAGTGCCTATATAGGCCAATAATAAATCTTTTTTTTTATTTTGCTCGAAAATATTTTTTATCTTGAAAATGAGTTCTATATATAGGTAATCCTGAATATTAACTTTTTCTTTGACAAATTCTGGAATATGAAATTGAGTATGTGTAGATGTTTCTTCGTTTTTCTTGAGGAATATCTTCTTTGAATCTTCGTTAGGCATAGTATTATAATCTTTTTATTTAAAATAATTCGTCGTCGTCAAAAATGACTTGAAAATAAATCGTCGCCAAATGAAATGTATTCAGAACAATAATATAAAGTGATTTATTTCATATAATAAAATATATATATGTTCTTCTATTTTTATAAATTGTAGCTTTAAGCAAATATAAAAATATATATATGTTCTTCTATTTTTATAAATTGTAGCTTTAAGCAAATATAAAAATCAATTTATTTAAATACATTACAATTTATTTAGATAATTTTTGGCTAGGCTGTATTTCTTAATTTGATAGATATCTTTTTCTTTTTATTGATAATTTATCTAAATTCAATTTGTTAAATTTTATAGTTATGAAAAATGAATATTTAGCTTGCAGCTAACCCAATATCTTAACGCCTTCTGATGAGGCATCTTGAGTTGAGTATATAAAAGTTATTTTTTGTAGTATGAAATTGATTAATTTTAAAAATAATATGACTAAAAGAATAACTGTAAAAAATTAAGCCTGGTTGAGTGATTCTAGTAGCATTTCTTTTTCTACAATTCGAATGCATATGAAGATGGTAAAATTTGTTGGGAATGGTAGTTTAAGTTCATGAATGTTTGAGTTTGGTATAATGATTATCATTGGAATAATAAGGTAGGATAATTATCACTGGATTAATATTTTTTGAAAGAATATTATTAGCCAAATTTGATTGACGTTTTTTGAGGATTATATATATAGAATAAATAAAAAAAATATTCAAAAAACATTATTTACTCACTAATATGAATCGATGAGAGAAACTAAATAATTATTTGGAAAAATAATTAATAAACATCATGGGGATCTAAAAAATACTTAATTTTATCTTATTAAAATAAGAAATAATTACATCTTCATTTATGGACCAAAGATCTAATTTTGATGGACCCGACTTCGAGACATTTTTTTCCCAAAACCGAACTAAAAAAATACAAGAGATTATGAACCCAAACCCGATTTTCTCTGAACACGGGTTCAAGTATATCTTTTATTTATTTATGGAGATTTATGTAAAACAAAGGTGAAAGAAAAATATTCATCATAGGTATACATTGATCAAGAATTAAAAGTCTGATTTCAAATTAGACCTTAATTTATGGTACCTTGACAATGGCTCTTTTGGAGGGTCTTTACCCAATGTTTTGTCGGTCATCGAGTACGTTGAAATGGAAGCTTCGAAAATTGGTCTTTCCTTAAATAGAAAAAGATGTGAAATATCTTCCTTCAACAATAAGTATTTTACCCCTCCCCAAGATTTTAAAATCATTCCGCAAGAGGAACTCTGTCTGTTAGGTCTCCTATTGGCTCTTCAACTTTCCTTTGTCGAAATTTTTTTTACAATTTGATTCAATCCTTTTTTAATTTGCTTAAAAAATCTTCCTCATCTTCCTAAGCATCAGTTTTTTTTCCCCAAAAAATATTTTTTCTAACCTGAATTCTTACACATCTTTAAATCTTCCCCGCTTTCCAATATAATTCCCTCCTAAAGTCCTTCGAATTAAAATTTAAACATTATATAGAATTCCTTCTAGTTTTAGTTTTCCGATTTTAATTGG